CAAGGTGAGTTGATCACTTTGTGAAGAAAAAAGTGGAGATTTAAAACGTAACTTATTGTTAGTGTATCCATGATTGTACGTTAGATAATGACTTTTAAATATTGAGGAAAAGAGAACACTGAACTTAAAAAAAGTTGGTGGGTGTTTGTTACACTAATACTCTGAAAGTTTGAGCATAGTATTAGAATAATTCTGTGGTAATTAACTTTTTCTCTGCTTTGTTTTCTTGAATGTTTTTTTTCCCAAAAAAAACCCTTACTACTAGATGTGCGCCTTCTACAAAAATAAGAATTCTGGTTTGGGGTTTTTGGGGCTTTTTATTTTATTCTTTCTTGCAGAAGTCTTAAACAGCAGAGGAGAAGTATGCATTGGAGATTTGTTACGTTTATCATGATGCATCATTCATAATAATAACTGAAATGTCATCCTCTGTAGATTTTCATGACTTTGCAGAGAAGTACATTTGACTCTACTGATTTTTTTTCTAAGTCCATTGCTCAAAGAGACTCAATTAAAACAAAAAAGGCTTCTGAGAGATTGGCTAGATTATTGAAAATGGCATACTGTGAAGATAATTTAAGTGTATTATCATTAACAGAATACCAGCTTAAGGAAAATAAGATTTCTGCTAATAGTCTTGTCTTCCACCCCCCACTCCCATCAACTTGCAGCCATTCTCGGATTCCTGTCTGCTTGAACCCTGAGCTTGGGGCTGCCTCAGAGCTTGTGTTTTAGTTTGTTTTGAGTGGGTCACCCATTTCCATTAGGATGAAGACTGAATAGGAGCAGTTGGGATTTGCTATTCATCCTTAATCATATCAGAATTACCTGACCCTCGTTATTCTGACCAAAGAGACCAGAACAGCCTATCAATTATATTGGAGCCACACTCCTGCAACAGCGGAAAAAATAGATGGGTAGGAGGCTCTGCAGACTGGAGCTTTTCATATTTAGGATCAGCAAGTCCAGATGTTTGTCTCTGGGGGATTCAAACCTGGATGTGCTCAGAAATGCACATATACAGAAATAAAAGGACCATAAAAAGGTGATTTCACGTGTGATTTCAGCTATTCTCACTGCTAAAGTTTTTAACTTGTCTATGGAATAAACCACCGGTGCCTTAATTAAGGGTACAATAGTAAGTGTCAAGTTATCTTACTTGTGTGTTTTGGGGTGGGGAGTTTTTTGTTTGTTTGGTGTCAAGTTATCTTACTTGTGTGTTTTGGGCTGGTGAGTTTTTTGTTTGTTTGCTTTTTAGCAGGCTCCAGTTGTTCTTTGTTACTTAACAGGTGCAGTAGCTTTTCTTTCTTTCTCTTTCATTTTACAGAGAGAAAGGAATTGGCCGAGAGGCCTCCAGTTATTTCTACTAATGAGTTCAAAGCCTTGTTAGAACTTACAAGAGAGTGTTTTTTGGATCTGTGCGACACTAGTCTTCCTAAACCTGTTCTGCAGAAGGTTGCCAGTAAAACTAGGTCATGCACTGTGACATCAGGTAAGTATTGTTATTTAGAAAATATACTGCTTATTCTCTTTGGATTTTTTTTTCATATCTGTTGTCATTTTTTTAATAAGAGGGGAGTCTTTTACCAAAAGAGGGAAAAATGGAGGGAAAAGTAAAGCAGCTTTCCAGGCTTTTTTACAAACTGAAATTACCCTCACATTAACTATTTCCTTTCTTTTCCTTGACAAAAACATTATGAAGAAAACATTTTTGATCACGGCACCCAGCAGGTTTTCCTTATAGACTTTTATATATATGTATAAAGGAATATATGTACATACATATATATATTTAAAAAGGAGTTTATATGCGTATGTATTTCTTTAAAGAATTAAGGGTTATCCACCATATATTTCTTGCAGAATCTGATTTGAGGGAGCCAGATCCATTGGAGTGGCCAGAAAGACATGTTCTTCAGAATTTGGAAAACTTTGAAAAAAACAAACAAAAAAGGAGGTAATGGTTAAATGCTGGAGATTTTCTTTGTAGTGGCCATTGAACATCATTCTAGAGGAGCTGTGTGTGTTAATAGCCATTTTTTAAACTGTTTTCAAATATATTGATAATCTTTCAGAGGAAACATTGCTTAAGGCTAAAACTAAGTTTCTGTTAATTTCCAAAGGTGTATTTTCTTGATATTCAAAGTAGTATTGTTTTGATTTTTATTGGAAAAACACAGCTGAAAGTTAGCTAAAAGTAACATAGTTCCAAACCCAAATTAGTGAAAGGGTACTACTAGAAAATAGTCTCTATAGTAGAAGAACATACAAAAGTTATTTTTCCTCCCAACATACCCTGGGCCATAAATAATAAAGATAGTACAGAAGTTTTTGTCAGCATGTACAGTGTGTTTCTAATCTCCTCATATTTTCTAAATAGTCAGGACTTAGTATCAGGTCTCAAATAATTTCAAAGTAGAAGATGTTATTGTTTTTATGTTTGAAATTTATATTTAGTTTTTTTTTTCCTTCAGTGATGTTTAAGTGAAACCTGTAGACCTTTGTGTCACTTAATACAGCCTGTTGATTTCCATTTAGCTCTCACTTTTATATAAAACTTAATGATTTTTTTGCTGGGTCTTAACATTTTTGAGGACAGACCTTTAGAGCAAGGTCAACTGCCTTTTTCCTACTTGCTTCCATCCATCGCATTTCTGTCTTACGAATACCATAGCTGGCCATGGCCTAGATTGGAATTCGGCGTGTCAGAAATTCTCACATTAAAGCTCTGCTTTCTCATCAGTATTACTATTATTATTGGCTTTTGTTCCTCAAACAGGTAAAGTTCTTCCTTCTAATTAGCTTTTGAAAAGCTTCCTGAAGGACCTTTCTGTTTCATAGTCAGTTAATGTTTATTTCATTGTATTCTGAACTGGTTATCTTCCGCTTATCCTGAAGCAGTGCCCAGCATGTTGCAGAACAGCAGAAAAAAAGAGAACTTTCCTATACTTGATTGAGACACTGAAAAAAAAAATAGAGTGGGCAGTTGCATGCAAGAGTGACTTTATGGTTTCATTGTCTGTCTTTTTTTAATGGTAATTGATTTTTGATCTTACAGGTCCATAAATGGAAAAAAGGGATGAATAATGTTCTTCCCATGTTGTATTTCATAACTAAGCTACAAAATCTTGGAGAAATTACTTTCTTTAGTAGGAAGGTATAAAATTTGCGGCAAATATACTTTATCATGAACATTTGTATAAATGTTCTCAAAGAGCAACCTTGTTCATTTTACTTTGGAAATACATTTAATTGGTCCAGACTAGCAGTGATTTTTTTTCTTCTTAATCTAGTTTACTACATTGAAAAGAAAAAATTTCTTAGATTGGTCTTTTTTTTTCTTTTCCTTTTTTCAGAGTTTCTATGTTTGCACATTCATCTGAGCAATTGCTGGGGCATAAAGATAGCCAACGGGAGTCATTGACATTGCTCGATGCTAAGGAATTACTGAAATATTTCACACCAGAAGGGCTACCAGTTGGTGATCTTCAGCCACTACAAATTCCCAAACGGTATGAATCCAGCATATTGAAACCACTGAAGACCGTACTCAGAACTGATGTACGGGAATGTGAATAACAACCAAATGAGTCCATTACTGTAATGTGAGTCTGTCTCATAATACTTAGAGATCTTGGATATCTAAGGGAAATACAAAGCCAAAGTCAAGGTAGTAGAAAATAAAGCAGACTAATTGTTTTTGCTTGAAGGCTACAAGGTCTGCCAATGACTTACACTGTATGTATGTGTTCTGCTGTGTCTGAAAAGAAACCAGAAAACCTGTGAAAATCCATAGCTGGATTGTTGCTGGGAGATGGTGAGCCATTCCTTTTCTGACATACCAGGTTGCTCTTATTGTTGTGTCCAGCAGAACTCTGGACTCCTAGCTGCTCATTCCCCTAGCAGGCTCTCTGACTAGATTCTCTGGAATAATTAGCAGCTTTGCACAGTAAATGTTCAAGCACAGTGACTAGAGACCCAAAGGTTTTCCTGATCAACAGAAGGAAAAAAGATATTTTATGAGAGACTGTTGAATAAAGGAGTTTTCACTTGTTTTGCATGTTTGAGCTTAAACAGAGGTTTGATAGTTTAGAATTTTGGCTGAAATGACCGTCTGGCTAGATTCAGTATCGCATCTTTCCTAGATGTTTTTCCCAGATAATTTTTCCAGTGGTAATGGTGCAGAGACAATCTATGTGAACAAAACTTGAAGCAACGTGTAAGTTTCAGATACTGCTACATCTTGCCTTCATCTCTTCCCTTTTTTAGGGTATGGTAGGATCTGGCAGCAAACTCTGTCTTGTCTGTCTTGCTATGACTTATTCTGTTGAAGTATTTTCAAGTACATTTATATGATTTAGTTGCAGAGAGTTACTAGCTGGAATTCAACTATTACAGGAGACAAGTGGTTAGTTATGAAGGCTGGGAAAGGCGACTGTTAGGCAAGACAACCACTTGAAGCTAAAGGAAAGGAATTCACTGGTTATCACACTGGACTGAGAAATGGGAGGTCATTTCCCAGGTCCTCTCAGTTCATTCTACTACTCAGGTGCCCCATTGTGAAATGGGCTTATAGTTGCCTGGTTTTATTGGTAAATTATTTGGAGCAGTGACCTCTAAACTGGTTGAAATGTTGAAGAGCTGCTGCAATGAAAATAGCTCAGTAGGTATTAGTTAGTTGAACTTAAATTCTCACTTCAATAAAGATTTAATTTTCCTCTGGTGCTGTATCTCAGGGGCTTAGCTACAAGACACACTGTTTTGGTCTTCCTCTGTCAAGGCATTTCTTTTTAACTTCTGGAAGTATAATTTATCCTGATGGTAATTAGTTAAAATAGACCTGTATTTTTTCCTTTCAGTGAAAACGCATTCCTTTTAACACCAGAGCTTACTCCTCGGAAACTCAGACGTCTGCCTTTTGAAAAAGCAGCTGGATGCCATTATCATGGACTTGAGTAAGTTTCCTGGCTTCTTTTCCCAAAATTAGTTTTCAGGTTCTGGTCAAGGTATAATTAGAAATATTTCAAGCAACGTGAACATTAATTATGGAAAATTTTATGTATCCTTTTCCTTCATTGGAACAACTTTGCACATGCCACCTCTCCCTTTCTTACCTTTATTTTATACACTGTTTTAAATTACAACACTCCTGTCTTGATGATAATGTAAAAACATTTAGGTTTTGTTCCTAAGTTGTGCTGCTGTAGCTATTTTGAGTGTCTATGAAAATTTTAATTCAGAATTGGAAGTGGCAAGGGGAAGAGGGTTCAGTAGTACATACCAAGTCCCTGGAGCAGCACACAAGTGAACTACTGACGTAGTTTCTACTTTGATATTAAATTGTAGGCACTTTCAGACTAATAGTCATGAAGTTTATGAGACCTGCTGTGAAGCTATCTGTATGTTCAGGGAACTTGAAAACAACACCAGCAGCCAAGTGTTAGTGGTAAGAATTTTCAAAAGGAACGATGTGGGTAGTACTGTATTTAGTCCCAGACAGCCAGCATTAGTTATTTGTCAAAGTTTCAGATGGGCAAACATCATATAATGTAGCTGTATAAAAATTGTTTAGAAAAATATAAATATTGTAATTGAAGAGAAGAGGAGAAGGACATACACTAACACGAGAGTACATAATTCAGCATAACTTCTGTGTGGACAGACTGCTAGTCTTACCGCAGTATATATAAGAAATGCAGTGGACACCAATCATAGGCAGTTTGGTCTTCATGCAAATTTCTGCTGCCTCTTAAAATTGCCTTTTCAGATTATCTGAATATGACTAATGATACTGCTGGTATTTTTTTCCTATCAACTACACAAATAGTTTGGTTAAGCCTATGTTTAAGATCTGGTAAGTTTAGCCACGTTCTCTACGGAGGTGAAGCAGTCATTCTATCTGTTCAGCTCTCTATTTCTTCTCTTTTTCTAAGTGGTAACTCATGAACCTTATAGGCTTTTTAGATTTATAACAAAAGGCACAAAGAGACAGCTGGGTAGATACAAGAAATGCAGATTTGGCCTCCCAGGTGTGGGAAGAAAGCACTTGGCCATTGTCTGGTATGTGGTAGCTTTTTGACCTGCCTGACCTCAGCAGGTGTGCATGGGGATTCAAATTAGGCACAGCACAGCTTGTGCTGCCTCTTCCCATAGCAAGAGACAGAAAGAGACCACAGAGAGGCCTGGATATTGTGGGGTGGAGGAAGACCCCGGCATATTCATGTTTTGAGGGGAATGTGCTGGCACTAAGGGAGGGAAGCAGTAGAGTGAGATGGTAGAAAGTAGTGTGGAAGGGAGGAAGACAGAGCTGTATGACCAGGATATAGTGTAGCAAGAGTATTGTATGGTCTTTTGGAGCGGATGTATCTTGTACCATGCAGTTGTGATTGCAGTTTCCATCTGCATAGCTGCTGTAATAGTATTTGAAAGTAAAATGTTGTCAACAAAACCAGGAGTAGTGGATATGATTAAATCAAATTTCTGGTGTAATGAACCTGTGCCAAACACTTGGATCCTGTGTTGCAACAAGAAAGTAATTGCCATTAAAGCAGAGTGAGTAAAATGGCAATTTAATTTCTAAAGATAAAAACATTTTTATCTCTGTAGGGAATGTGATTACTCAGGGGACCGAGAATATAAATAAGGAAAATTAAATACCTTGAAATTTGTAAGTTAAGAGACCTTACTCTTATCAGATAATGAATTTATTTCTAATGGAAAGTGTTACTCAGCTGTAGAAATGAATTCAGTGATCTGTTATTAGAAAAGGGAATTTCTCCCTGAATATGAAAATACTCTGAAGAAAGTGGGAAAAATCAGATCTAACAAATTAACGTCATCGTTTTAAGAGCTAAAAGTAAAGAATATATCTAGAGTTCCTAAAAAGTAGGAAACATTAGTAAGTAGTTTGGAGGGTGGGCTGAGAGAGAGCTCACATTGTTCAAAATGCTTGTTGAGAAGAGGATGGAATAAGATTGGATAGTACTTTTGTCTTTCCCTGCAGTTGAGATAATGTAAGGTACTGGGTGATGAAACATTGGTCTCTTGCAAGGAGTCTTGACAATCATTTACACAAGAGAAAAGTTAGTTAAGATGCATTTTGTATTGCTGTAATCTCATGAGTGTGTTTCACTGAGTTAGCACTGTTCATTTGTTCTCTTTCAGCTCCACTGTATTTAATACAGTTTCTTCTTTTGATTTGGTTGATTAAACAACTTATTCCTTGTAATCAATGGGAAGACAGGAAGCTTGTGCTTGTTCAGTGACCCTTTTGTATGTTTAGCATTTAAAAAATGTGAATCTCTCACATAGCGGTGCTTATCTCAGACAAAGCTAAAGGTTGCATTTCCAGAGTGCAGTTAGCAAAGAGTCTAAACAGGATTTAAAACGCTTACCATGCCTTATCTTCTTCATACTTACACTCATTTTATACAATCTCACAGCAACCTAGTTTTTAGCACAACCTGGCTGGGATTCCTGAAGTACTCCGAACTTGCAAATCACACATATTGTACTTCGGGATGTTTTCTTCAGGCATTTCCTATGTGATTCTCTTATGGCACCTGCACTGAAGAAAACTTGGGTGGGTTGGTTGGTTTGGTTTGGCTGGGTTTTTTGACTAGGAAGGTTGTATTCTCCCAAGAAGAAGCAGAGGCGTATTGTGTGATCATAGTATCATATTAGAGTGTGTCATTTTATATATAATAACCTGATATTTTCTGTCTCAAAGTTCTGGTGGATGCTCACAAGGTCTGAAGATACTGTATCCATTATGGTGTGCTGGGTTCATCATATATTTGAGTTCAGAGCTATCCTCGTCGCTGTTCTATTGGAGTGTCACGTGGGTTAGCATGTTAACAAGGGTAACATCTGTTAGGTGTGGAGTGAATATGAAAAACAGTGAACTCTAAAATAGAGAGACTGATGAAATTAAGGTAACAGAGCTGACTGGCAGGAGCAAAATATCCATTGTCAGCATCGTAATCCATCACTTGTTGTTCAAGGAAAAAATTCTGCTAATGTCCAGGGAAATCTTATTTGTAAGACCACAGGGTAAGGACTTACAAATAGTAAATGTTTCAGCTTCTTTGCTGGAGTTAGACTTAAATATAGCTAAGCCCCTCAGGCACGTGTTAATTTAGTGGGCTGTTTAAGATACCTTTCAGAACAATACACCAGTCCAAACAAAAAAAATTTTGGAGATTATATGATAGGCAAAAGGAAGTTGTTGCGGGTTTTTTTCTGATTGTACTAAAGCAGAGACTTTCTCTCACAGATTTCTCACCAATTTAAATTTTAGATATTGTCTAGATAACAGAAGAGCCTTAGAGAGAGATGTGGGATATGCTGAACTTCAAACTCGTCTTATTCGCTACGAAACTCAGACTACTTGTACCAAAGAGTGCTGCCCTGTGCCAGTTGTTTTGAGCCCTCTCCCGTCTCCTGCAGTCTTGTCGGAGCCTGGAAGTGTGCCTGACGGAGAGTCTTTACAAAGCGAATTCAAAACAGAGGCGTCAGGGCTAAAACGCAGATCAAAAGACTTGGATTGCTTTTATCCCAAGAAAAGGTAATGCACTGAATAAAATAAACCTTCAGCATGAAATATTTCAGTAGTCTCTTGTGAAATGCATCTTTTCTTTCATCTCGAAATGTTTTTAGTGAAGCTATCTAGACAAATGTTCTAGTTGTTTAATCCTTTTCTGTAGGTCCTTTTTTTTCTCAAGTGTGATCTCTCATTGATAGCATTGGATTAATCAAAACCATGCAGCACAGGCACCTTTTATTTAAGAGATTTGGGGTTTTACTTTGCAAAATCTCAAGTGCCTTTGAAAAGATGACAGCCTCATCTAGGACCGAAACTGTCCATGCTGTTGCAGTTACAAATAAACAACTGAAGATTTAGAAAGCTAAGCACTGTACAAACAGAATAATTTAATTCCAAAGAGCTGCTGGTATGAGATGACCTACCAAAATTGAAATGTATTGTCAGCCGTGTTTATTAAAGTCCTATCTGGAAGTTTAGTTTTTAAGACTTTTGTATCTTGTCATCTTGATACTTTTGTATCTTGTCATCATTCTGAAGATGCAAACTCTTTGCATCAATAAAAAGTAACTGCTATGTAACACTACTTCTGAATTCACTTTTTACTGTAATACTTCTTCCTTCTTTCCAGTTTGATCCTATGCAATCTAATCACACTAAACCTGTAACAGAGGTATGGTTTTAGGAATATCCATATCTTTTGCAGCTCACTGAATACTTAGAGAAGATGTGGTTGTACTCATAAATTGGAGTTTCAGAATTACTAACACTCTTACAGTTGAAGGACCAAACATTACAATGTTCCAGTAGAATTGTAATGCCCAACTTCCCGTAGATAGAGATGAGTTGTGACATTCCTGCAGGGCCCAAAAAAATTAGGTAGTTTCAAAAAGTTCTTCTTGTCCTGAGACTAGAGGCCAGTAAATTCAGCTTCTTCCATCTGTCTAAAAGAAAGGTTCATATGCAAAACTACCCCTTCTTCCAAAGAGTTTCTCTTCATAGTTATCTCATTTCTTCAGTTTGTTTCTAGATGTTTTTAATCAGAGGTGCAATGGATCTAGGTATCAGAGACCAAATCAGTCACTACAGTGTTGTTCTAATATGACAGAAATTACGTAATAGAATCCTGTCTGCTGTTTTCAGATGCTGTTTATGAGAATGTACAGTACTTAATACTCTCAGCAGCAGCCTCTATAGCAGAAACAAAGGCACTGAAAGAGTCAGTAAAAAATCTGAAAGTTCTTTTTATCTTTTTTTTTTTTTTTTTTTCTTTCCAGGCTGACCAAATCTGAGAGCACAGATTCTCTCCTCTCTCAGGCAAGCGGAGGTAGTGGCAGTCACTATACAGTTGCTGTAACAAGGAAGCGATCTGAAAGATCAGTTTCTTTAGCTTCAATGCCATTGAAACAGGTCGGTCAGCCCCACAAAGTAAGCACTAAGGTTGGCTCAGCAAGTTGCATAAGTGCAAGTGAATCTGATACTTCAAAGCCAGCTAAGGAATCAAGATCCCAGAAGCATACAAGGGTAAAGGTCTATGTTGTTTGCATTGTGAAAAAGCATCTGCTTAACTGCTTGCCATTTGACTTGATTTTAAATTTTTTTTAACTCAAAGTGAACTGTCTTTGTCTCCATTTGTTGTTATTAAATTTCATTCTTTTCACTTGTGTAAGTGAATCCGGAAGGCACTGAGGAGAGTGCTGCAGAAGCAAGGAGTGAAAGAGTATGTAAGGAGTATCATGCCCAGGGAATTAAGGCTAAGAGAGATAACAACTAGGAATAAAAAAGGTGGGACTAGATATCAATGAATACAAGTTATGAAATGCAGAAAATTAATGTAAAACCTAAAAGCACCAAAGAAATATCTGTGCTGGAAGGGTAAAAGCCATTGTGGAAGAACAGACTACTAGGAGAATATAAAAATGTTGCAATAGTTACACAAGTCCAGTAATTGAGATAACATTTAAATACTTTGATGCGATAGTATTTAGTTAATAGCTGTATATATTAGGAATGTCACTTTTAAAATACAGTACACAAAACTGTTTCTGCCTAGGTGATACTAATTTTAAATTAATCTCAGGGTGCTTGAAAGGACTCTGCATGAATGTTGTTATCGTACTGTCAAAGACAAGTTGGGATAACCCAAGTAAGCGTAAATTGGTGAGACTCGTTCAGACCTACAGCAAAGTTTAAACATCTCTCATATAAAGAATGTCAGAGTAAATCTTCTAATTTGACAGTAGCACCTGATTTTTTTATTCTTTTTTAATATGGATGTGTTAAACAAGAGTATCAATATAAAGAAAAAGTTTTTTATACATATATCTACAGAGAAAGTATTTTGGAAAAGAAAAAACCCAAGCCGTTATAATTTCTTTTTCTGTCTTTCAAGCCCCATGTGAATATTCACTGATTCTTTACCTTGCTTTGACATGTAAACATTTCCTGAATTTTTGAGATGAAAGAAATGGAAATAGATTGTTAAATAACTCTGCCAGATTTGGTGAGTGGGTTCATAGCATTTGGCCAATGGATTAATGACACAGGCAAGATCAAAACTGATCAGATGTTTTATTTTTTTTTCTTCTTTTGGACAATTTTTCATGCTAATAATTGGGATGAATTTTTGAGTGTGTTTCTATTGTTTCCAAGATGCTAAAGGAGGTGGTCGCTAAGACTCTTCAAAACCATGGAATTTCAGAGGATCACAAGTGCTTTGCATCATGCAGCCAGCGTCTGTTTGAGATATCAAAGTTCTACTTAAAGGTAACTAGAAGACATGCTCTTAGAGTTGTTTCTTCTTAGTTAAGTGAATGTATTCCTGAATAAAAACTTGAGATGGACTGTGGGATATTCAGACTTGATTAAGGTGGTATTTCCGAGTGTTGTGTTAGTAGTGTGTAGAGTGTGTGGATAAACCCTTGGACTTGTCAAATGCAGAAGCTAGTTTCACAGTATATTTTGGTAGTTGTTTATTTGTTTTTAAACCTTATGAAGCAGTAGTCTTTATCTGAGATAACATGTTAGAGCAGTGATCTGTTAGGTAAGGTCATGTGTATACTATATTGCCTCTTCAGCTGTTTTAGCTGCCTCCTCTCCATAGCTGTGGCAGCTCAGCTTCTCCCTTAGAACAAGGCTATTGGCTGACTAGGCAGCTTAAAGAACTGACTCAGAAATTCTAGCTCCCTGACATGCTCACAGAAGTCCTGGTAAATCCATTGTAAATGTGCACAACTACCTAACACATACCAACTTGGCAGCACTGTGTAGGCATCAACCTCATTTTTGGGAGAAGATAAGAATTCTTTCCATAATACATAGGAGACTTTGTGAGTCAATGCTTGAGCCCATGTTACTTAGTCTTGGCATGAAGTCGAGTTAATTACAGTGCAGGCTGTTTAAAAGCTATTGCTCACGAGCTGAGCTGCTGTTTCTGATAATTTGTATGCATTTAGCCTACCAGTATTTGCAAACTCAGTTTACTCAACTTCAGTAAAGGTGATTTAAGCTAAGTGAAGTTGCAATTGAAGAGGGCTGAATGCTTACACAGACAATTAAGACATCTTGTTGACGAGCACCAACTTCTTAAATAATTAAAAAACAGTTGCACAGTCATTCTGTAAGAAGTCCCCACATCTCCCTGAAATAAGCCCTGAAGGAAGATCTTCTAATCCAAAATCAGAAGAAGCTGCATGTAGGGATGAGAGAATAGAGCAAATCAGAGGGGTTCACGGTTACATTCCAAGTAGAAGAGCAAAAGGAAGAGTATCACAGTGATGTTGTCCTTTGGAAAGCTGATCTAGAGAGAAGTGCAGCAGGATTTTGTTCTCCTGACATTCTTGCAGCCCCAAGTCTGTAGCGGCCCTTTGAATCCTTTTCTGTGCTGTGTGCTTTAGAAGCATATCATAGGTATCATTTTCCCTTGGAGACAAGTAGTAAATGAATTTTCTTAGTTTTCCTTTCTCTTTAGGCGAAGTTATGCACTTCCTTTGTTTAAGGTTTAGGTTGGGCTAATTGGACTGCAAAACAGAAACCATTCCAGGTTTTTCCTTTCTTGTACTGATTTTCTTTCTCCATTGTCCTCTTACCTGTTCTTTGTCAGAACTCTGTATTGCAGTCTAAGCATACAGTTGATTTACATGTTTATATAGAAATAAGATTTCAGTCAAGACTGTAAGAACTTTGAATATCATTTAAGAAAAAAAAAAACATTTCTGGAAGTGTGCAGGAGGTTAGAAGTGTGGCTCAATTGCACATGTAAGTACTAGGTTTGGATTGCTGTATGGAAAGCTGCAGCCTATTGGAATGGATTTAGATTGTTTCAGGTTTTTTTTAAAAAAGTGAAGTCAAATAATTCTTCTGTGGTTCTGAACAAGGTGATAAAAGGGTAATTCCCCCCCCCCAAAAAAAAATTAGGCTTCTTATAATCCAAATTAGAGAGATCATATGAGTTTTCTAATCTCTGTACTTTTTTTTGTATTTAGGATCTTAAAACTTCTAGAGGACTTCTCGATGAAATGAAGAAAACAGCAAATAACAATGCTAAGCAGGTGAGACTATTTGTTTATTTGTTCCTGTAACTAGCCAAGGCTAAGTGTAGCTGCAGCAGTGTGGCTGTAGGATGGTTTAGACACAGCTTTGAGATGAAGAGACGCATTCCTTTGGCAGTGGGTCTTCTTTCACTCTCTGATCTCACCAAAACTTTCTCTCAGTCAGTAGTCCCATGGCAAAATTTCCAGTTGCATATAGTCAGGTTTTAGATGGTACTCCAGTTACAGCTGCCAATGTGATGCACCACAGTGAGAAATGGAAATGAAGGCAATAAATGTTTCCACATCACTGGGAAAAAGAAAAGGAGAGATGAGACTTTTCTTCATTTGAAAGAAGCCTGGATCATTAGGGAATTCTTCTTTCTCTGTGTTGAAGGAAATAACATTTCATTTCAAAGGTTAGGAAACAATGAAGGGTTTTATAAAAGGAAATACATTTCTTAAAAGAAGTAATGAAAATTAGTAATTTTAATCTCGGGAATAACTGTAAGCACAAGGGATATCACATGAGCTTATTTGTGTGTAAGGTGGGACTTATGTGAGCAGTAGCACAGAGCAAATGACAGGAGTAAATACTTCTGTCCTCAAGAAATTAAGTAACTGATTAAATTATGAAAAACATGCTGAAAAAATTCCATTATTTAAAAAAAAAATCATGCATATTTACAGTACAGTTTTCAAAATCATAAATTAAATGGAAGGATGGATTAAATAAGAAAACCCAAACACGTAAGGAAAACTTCTAGATCCCCACAGAATTTATTCTATCAGAGCAGTATTTATTGTGTTCTGTACTGTGTTCCCTTGTGACTTGCTCCCTACAGATCACAAGGTTTCAAAAAAACTACACGGGTTGTGATGTTTGGTGTTGAACTGGGATATTGTGCTGCTCCACTGCTTCTCACCAGCATCTTTGGGGAGTCCAGTTGGTAGTTTTATGTAGGTTTGCTGTTGGCAAGAGCGGCATTAAAATTGGGCATCTCTTAAGCTGGCCACCTCTCCCTGTATTAGAGAATACTTTGAAACTACCTTATAAAAATTATAATTGCCCAGGACTAGTCAGTTGTCTGAACAACCACCCTGTTTGGGAAACAATGATGCTAATGGTGGCAAATACAGCAGCGTACAAATGATTCTTTATCCTTTCTTTTACAGCTTTAGGAATTTGTTGTGCTGGAACCACTAGCTGTTTAGCATTGTGCGTGGAGAGAGTGGGGTGAAGTAGATCAATTCAGGGGATCTAAAAATGTCTTTTTCTAAAGACAAGGCGTTCTGTAAAATTAAATACAATTCTGGCGTAATGCTGTATCCACAGTTTATTAACAACTCTTTCTCCTTATGGATGGCTTGCTTTTAAAGACTATTTAGTAAACACCACACAGGCGGTGATAAAGAAAGAATTGATAAAATGTGTGAGATGCTCTTAAGTTGCTTTCAAGAACTGGAGTTATGTCAATAACTTGTTTTCTCATTTGTTTTACCAGGTGATCGAATGGGTTTTGGAGAAGACTGGCAAGTAGGGGTACTGAATGGATGCTATTCACACCTTCCTAAAAACAGTGGAGACAGAGCACTTCCGATTGTAAGAAAAGCATTATACTGCCTAACACACACACACACATATCTCCACACGAGAAGGACTTTGGTCAGTGTAGGGGTACTGAATGGATGCTATTCACACCTTCCTAAAAACAGTGGAGACAGAGCACTTCCGATTGTAAGAAAAGCATTATACTGCCTAACTCCACACGAGAAGGACTGTGGTCAGTGTAATTATATAGCCTCAATTCTCAGGCGCAGTAGCATGTTTGGAAACTTTTTATACTGAAAGTTTTAAATTTTTAAAAAATTCAAATGGAAAAGTTTGTATTTTATATGCGTATTTATTATGTTTCATTGTTAAAATGAATATAGCTTACCTTGGTTTGATAAAGCTTTGTATGTTTGTCAACCAGGGTATTTGTTTTTTATGTGAATAAAAACCCTACCAGACTTAATTTTAATAACAAAATGACTTTGTTTTACCTTTTTGCTTGAAGGCCTCTATTCTGTTTATTACTACTTGCTGTTGTATAAGCAGCTGTTTACAGCGTCGACCGTTGACATTTATAGAATTACTAAGAACAGTTCCTGTTGTGCAGGTGAAAGCAAACATAATTAGAATTCAAGTCACAATTATCTCTGTGTTGTAGTATAAGGAATAAAAAAAAAAAAGCACGTCTTTCGAAACTTGATGCAAGGTCCCGTTAAAGAAAGGATCGTTGTTTTACAAGCTGAATTTCCAGTATCATTTCATGTGCACTCTTTGTAACACTCCTTCGAGACAATTCATAGCAGAGTTCTGAGATTGCTTTCAATGGCAGAGGAGAAAATCAGAATGATAGCAGTAATGATAATTGTGAGAGCTGTGGAAGAGCTGGCATGCTCTGATGAAATGCAATGGAAAGAATAATTTCTACCTGAGTTACAAGCACAGTAAAATGCTAAATTCGGCCTCAGTTTGCTTAAGCCTCAGGCACGTACCTGGCTTGTACTGGTGTAATTATCTAAGTTAGTATTACATTGAGATGAGGAGTTCCTACCAAAACAAATGTGTTTTACAGCTTTTCAGTGTAAGGATTTCCTATTCGCCATATAACATGATTAGAATTGATAGGGATGCAGTGTTATTGTTTGCTATGTTCTCCTGGAAGGAGAATGGATAAAGCAATTCTAATATGAATTAAATTTAAAATGATGAAAAACTAATTGAACTAAGCCATGTGTAGGTTAGACTTAATACTGTAAAACCCACTCATTCTCTAAGGAGCCTTCCTGATTTCGTGACATTATTCTTTGCTTAATTCTGGTTTTTTGTAAAGCAAAGCCCTAAGGAGGTTTTTTATGTCCGACAGGATCTTGCATTTAACTCCCCTGTTCCTTTGTTCCAATCTGTATTGTTCTCCTGAACTCTGCAAGACCTTTCATATGTGGGTGTGTACTCGTTTGAACTGTGCTCTGAGCAGTAAGAGGAGAGCTGGGCACCTGCTTTACTGGGACAACGGGCTCTAGTGAGTGCAGTGTGTCTTAGCCCAGGACAAACACAGCTACTTTGGAGTGGGAATGCATTTGTCTGCAAAATGCCACGCATTCATCGTGTCCAGGTTAATAACTTCAAGGGTTTTACCGATTTTACTGAAATAGAAACAAAATGAATGCAGATAATTAAGTAATTATTTAATGTGTGCATGCACAAAATTGCTCCAATGCATTAATTGCTCTGTATGGCTCACATTTCTTTGCGTTCAAGACAAATTGTTTCTTCATGTAATTACACGAATACTCTTGCAGCCAAACACTTTAAAATATGCGAATGCTTACAATTCTAATGAGTTAAATTTAAAATTCTTTGCCCATAAACAAGCATTTAATCAAGATATTAATCTTCCTTAACATCCAATATTGAATCAAGTCTCAATTTCCAAATCGAGAGAGAAAAGCCTCAAGTTATAATCTCTTCTATTCAGCCTGAATACTGATACTATTGGCCAAATAATAAAGCAAATCGCTGAAAGTTACCTTTCCTACTTAATTTTGGTGGGTTTATATACTTGTAATTACAAAAAAATTGTAGTTAATAAATTATGCATAAGTTGATAAGCAAAAGTACAGAAGCTACATTTTATAAAATACTTGAGACTAGCTGCCGTGAGCAAAGAAAATCTGTTTCAGGAAAGTCATTAACACTCTTCAACTGGCCTTCTTGATGAAAAACTATTGGCATGTATCTGCAGGAGGGCTTCTATAAAAAGGTGCTTTTTAAAAATGTGTTTTTATTATTTTCTCATTCCTCCCTTACGTCTCTATGGTGTGCACAGTGGGCCCTGGATTTAGATACTAACTGTCTTACTTCATGAGCAAGCAGAACCCGATGGTTATTGTTTTAATTAATTCTGTAGACTCAAAGGCTGGCCTGAAATAATCATCAGGAAAGCAGTTAGGGAAACATAAGCATTTTGATGTGTTGTTTGTTGTTTCCCAGTACTGAGCTAATACAGTGCTGCCCATGTGTTATTTGCAGTTTGTTTGTGTCTTGGGTTTTTTTGGGGTAAGTGAGAGCCAGTTTATTATCATGGCTTAATAACACTGTGCCCCATTGGAGCTGTGATAACTGTCCTTGTGTATGTTCTTAACCTACAAAAAAAGCATGCAAAATAATTGGACCTAACAGTGCTAAACCAAACTATCTTACCTCTGCCGTAGTTCAAAAACCCCACAGTAAGAGTTCTGACAGCTCAGCTAACACATTGTAACTTACGTGATACAGAACATAACATCACTCTTTGCTTCTGAGCTTCAAATTATTTTCTTTTGTGGCTGGTGAACCCGAAATCCAGTCTGCCTTAAGCATAGAAGGTTTGGGTGCTTGCTGTCATGTTTTTGCAAGTCTGGATAGAAGTCGTATTCACCAATATACGTTTATGGTCTACCCATAAGCCATGTTATGCCCTCATACAAGAGTGGGTAAGTTAATGCTGGTTGTGATTACTTGGTGAGATGATTATTCTAGCATTACAGTAATTGCATGATGAATATCACTGGGCTACAACCGAACTTGGGTACAAATGCTTTTCCGAATTCACAAACTCCAGTTCTCCCTTGGGATTTGTTTTCTATGCCTCTAATCATTTACACAAGCACAGAAATTCTGACAAAGGAAATAAATTGAAAAACTAATTCTGTGTGGAAAAACTAGCTGATATGTTCACAAGAGGTTGTAATCTTTGTTACATAAATATGTAGTGTTTTTCCCCTCATGCTTTTAAACTAAACTTTGGCCTTGGTTCATCTAGGGGTTCACTTGTATCACATAGGCTGAGTTTCTTACTATTAATATCTGCTCTTTAAAATCAAGTTCACCACTGAATTCAAAAGTGTTCTTTTTAGATACAGTTCCCAATTACTTTATAGTAATAGTCTATATAGTAATAGTGTGTGTATATGCATAGTAAACAACCCCAGTAAACAGCTGGTCTCTTTAAACAGCTAGTTATAAACCTGGCAGTTTACATGAAAAGTGAGATAAATTTACAAATCAATGATACTATAACAGTCTGGAGCACATCGTTTGTTTAGGCTCTGATTCTGCTTCCGTGGAAATCGCTTTATAGTAATAGTCTATATAGTAATAGTGTGTGTATATGCATAGTAAACAACCCCAGTAAACAGCTGGTCTCTTTAAACAGCTAGTTATAAACCTGGCAGTTTACATGAAAAGTGAGATAAATTTACAAATCAATGATACTATAACAGTCTGGAGCACATCGTTTGTTTAGGCTCTGATTCTGCTTCCGTGGAAATCGAAGTAGCACAAAGTGAGATAAATTTACAAATCAATGATAGTATAACAGTCTGGAGCACATCATTTGTTTAGACTCTGATTCTGCTTCCGTGGAAATCAAAGTAGCACCAGTTAACTTTTAAACATGGGTAAGAGGACATAGAGAAGTCTTGCAGGTGGAAATCAGATCAACCTCTACCTCAAATCAGCTGTGCTTCCAAATGCGAAGAGTTTGGATGGACTGTGCTCCCACATCCTGTGGGAAGCAAGAAGAGTCGCCTTCTGTGGAAAAACACTTATTTCCTAACCATTCTATGATTTGGCAAAGACCAGTTCTCATTCTGTTCAGGCAGTGATTTACTTGGTAGTGCATAAAAAGTTCTGTTCTGACTTATGAAGTGCCTTAAGAGAGATGCTAGCTCCACTGAAAGGGCAGGACTCTTAGGAAACACCAGTATGCTTCCCTGAACACAATCAGATCAGCTTTATTTTATTTTTTTTAAGAAACACCTTATATCACATTTCTCCAGTAACATATATGTTCCAATATGTATCCAAGTCTTTCTAATGGTGAAGCTGCTGTCCAGGCTTTCTGATCAGACCGTTCTATTTACAGTCAGTGTTTCGTGAAAAGAGTGAAACTCTAAAATACCTCTTTTTTAGGATTTCCATGAGGCTGATCTGCCATATCTCAGGTAAGACTGAAAGAACAGACTTAGAATCCCACAGTTAGCTTTTCTATTTGGGCCAGTAAGTTAAGAATTAGAGGGGAAGAAAAACATACTATTTCCATAACTGTTCATAAGAGCTAAGCAAGGCACATTTCGGCCTCACTCCTGGAATGCAGAAGCTGAGCAGAAGTTTCTGGGGTTTTTTATGACACCACTAACCTCCCAGTTAAGCATAAGCAACAGCGAAAACTTCAGCAGGTGAGTCTGAACGACCTCACCCAGGACATCCCTTTGGCCTTTCAATAAATGCCAGCAGCAAAAAACCTGCGTACTTACGCTCTCAGCCTGTCAGCAGCAGCAGCACTGCTGTGTGAGCACCGAGCTTAGCTAACAGAGAGCACCAATGCGCCATTGACAGTACATTAATACTTTATTTTTAATTTTGAATTTCTAAAAGTCATTCTGTCAATACGATGAATAGTTCTCTCAAGTAACTGAATTCTTAACAGAATGACAGGTTTAAAATTTATTTTCCCCCAGCCCAAACCAAAGGACAACCTTCCAAAGAGCTTGTTTGGGAACAAAGTAAGCTCACCTCACAAAAATCCAATAAATGACTTTATTAAATATATTCTTTTTCCTCTAAAATATAAATATTCACTATACTCTTATAAATGTGGAGTAGGTCCATATTTTATTTGTCTATCCCATCCAAATATGAATCAGTCCAAAATCTGAAAATGAAGAAATAGCATCTGTAATTATCATTATTTTTTCTATAAATATATATCATATGAATTTTCTTTGCAAACTGTTTAGTTATTCACTTATACTTCATATAGTACTGAGCACCTTAGATTACATATTGTATAATTTGTTGGTACTAATACAGGAATTTGTAATATTTACAATGCACATACATGTTAAGTATAACATTCCAGTGATTTGTAAGTGCTGAAGGAATAAGGAAATAGTGCAGTATAGTTTACATATGTATTTAACCTACCCCACAGAATGCAAGTTTTCAACTTTTAACCTCTGGAACTTTTATAGGAGCCTGCATCCAGATTTTTAAGTTATACTTTGGAACAACAGTAAAAGTGTCCTGAATCGCTTTTTAGAAACGTCACACTATGTTTTTACTTGACGATGTGATGTGAGTTCATACTCAGAGACCAGTCCCCAGCGTACCGACTGCTCTCAGCTTCTCAGGAGATGTTCTCCCAGAAGCTTCCAAGCCAAAGGAGACGCAAATAACTGCCACAGTTACGTGAATGGCCGTGGTCGCTAAATGAGAAACGTCCATTTGGAAATTATTGGCAAGGTATGGAACGTGTTATCTCCTACCTTGTAAATTTACATGAAGAATTAATTTTGAAGTGCAAGTACCATGACATTAAAAACATAGTTCACAGCAAGGTGAATCCTCTCCCAGGCTTGTTTTTGACTGGTGAGAGGTGCTGGGAGTGGGGCTGCTCTTCCAAATGGCAATTTAGCTGTTCTTCAGTTATTATTTTCTGTATTTCTGAATTCAGCCCATCATCTTAATTTTTTAACTAATTTTGATTATTAAGATACCTATGGAACCCACCATGAATTAATTCCTATGCTGTGAATAAACAGCACGACTTATGCTTAACTCTCAAGACTTAGCTTAAAAACAATGTGGAACCAAACTGTGTTTTTAATTTTCCTCTTTGTCAGCCAAGTGATGCTAAGTTGAAACTTGCATGCTTTCTCAAGAATAAAAGTCGTCTTGTAATATGACAAGTGAACTTCCACAAACTTCAGATTTATTACTTACTGTACAGTTCCTGTCCTTCAAAGTGGGAATTTAGGGCAAAACTCTAAAAGCAAACAAACCCCCACCCCTATATGAAGCAGTTCTGTTTACAAAGTAAGAGCAACATAAATGCCATCCCTGTTCTGCTTCTTTCTGTTCCCCTGTTAAGCCAATTTAGTAGTTCCAGGTGCAGCCTGCACCATCTCTGACCAGGAAGGTCCGTGCTCCTGCCTGCTGCCTGCTTTGTGCCCAACGTAACTGTGAACAAGGCTGAAACTCAGCGATTCGCGTGTTTTGACTTAAAACAGGAAGTTGTGGTGCAAAACAGGAACTAGTAAGTTATGGGTACAGAGGTGAAGGTCTTACGTTTCACCAGCAAGGAGTAAACCTGGACTTTGCCAAGTCATGCTTAGAGGAGCAGTTCCTTCCATGTTAAGGCTTTTCTGGCAGTGCGGCTCGTGTTCCTGCCCTGGTGCATTTCCTCACTATTGTGGAGCTGCTTGAATAACTTTTGTGATCTAATGTAGAGAACTTTCAAAAAAGTCAAATCTTCTTCCTTCCCCACCTTTGTTCTTCTAAGAAGCCCACACAACTAGCCTCGTTGGAGCTGAGGGCTGGACACAGTATGGACAGGAGGACAGGAAGCTCAGCATGGCTTTCTGTTGGAAAGCTGCCATGGGAATGTGCTGGCAGAAGCTTAGGTCACGCTTCAGCATGGATTCTGGTAACTTTTACCTGAGCTGGGGATCCCAGGTAGCTGAAACTCCTTAAGCCATTATGGGAAGTCACTATGAAAATACATCCTCTGTGTTAATTGACAATGGATGCTCCTACCTCTGCCTCCCTGGCAGCCGGCTCTCACTGCAGCACTAGAGCTAGTCTTGCTTTGGGTCCACTGCTGGGAATGTAGGCAAGATGTCTTCATTTCATTTGGAAGTGCCCCTTGGCAGGGACCCTCCAGCTGTGCCCTGGCCACCGCTGTATTGCTTTAGAGCATCCTACTCGAAGGTGCGTATTTGGATGCTCTGCTGGGTATTCAAGCAACAGGTTTTGACAGCGCTCCAAAAGAAATATATTCTTTAAGTGGTGTACAGGTTAGAACTGAAAAAAATATTTTACTTTTGGGTGGTGGGACAATCTTGTTTGGAGAACTTCTACTCAAACAACCTTGAGGTTGCATCACAACCAACACCCACTCTTGTCTTCTTAGCCCTTTACTTATTCTATATAAACAAGTACACTGAAATAGGCACAATTTATGATTCTGAAACATTCACATGTATGGTACTAGATGCTTTTACTGTCTCATGGGATTTAAAAATCCCATTATTTACAATGAAGTCCACTGTTCTTCTTGCCATGCCACCTCTTTAGCTGATCAAAATGAAACCTGGGCCTTGGAAGGCTGCAGAAACGGCCCAGGCTCAGTACTGAACCCCGAGCTGGTGTGTGCTGCTAGCTGGTGCGGGTTACTGCTGTTGACTGTACTTTGGATTAGCATAGTCACTCCTTTCTTTGAAGAAACAGATGTATCCCACTTATGCCACCAAGCCAAGTCTTGTAATCTTTGCTGACAGGAAGGAATGAATGATGAACACAATTGGTTTTGGACAAGAATGAAGGTCCAGTTGCTGAAAGTACAGAAAGAAATCAAATTGAGAATTATTAGATTAGATTACAGCTCAAATAAGCAATCATATATGGAGTGCTTGATTAACTGCTGCCTGGTATTTTGAACAGGCTTCTACTAATAGCAACCTTTTATCACAACATATTGTCTTCTCTTTGCATACAGCTGCACATATTTAGGTTACTAAAAGTAAGTAATAAGCATCTTGAGAACAGATGAGATCCTGGTGCCTCTGGGCTTGCATCCACCTGGGTGAGCAGCAGAAAACTGAGTCAGATGCTGCAAGCAGTTTTCCAAGGTGTTTGACCTCACCATCTTTTCAGGCTCTCTTTCTGACAGTGGGACTGTGTCCAATACCCCATACATCTGCTTTTGGTCAGTGCTGAAGCCAGGATACTGCAGCTACAGCTGACGCTGCACTGTTGCTCCTCTGTTCATGCAGCTGGCACTGGGACTGAACTGAGGCTTTATTTTTTTTCTCCATAGTCACAGTTCAGATGATCTTGCCACACACCTGCTAAGCATGACAGACTTGTCAGTGTGGACAGCAGGCTCAGCACTAGGTTCACATCGAAACAAACCAGGTTTGCCTTTCCACTAGTCACACATCGACTTTGTTGAGAGCTAGTAACAAATTCCCCGCTGAAAGCCTGACAAGAAGCAGTTCACAGAGCGTATGTTAGTGAAGGTGATGTGAAGAATTGAGCACCCCATGTTCTCAGGAACTGCTGAAAACACTTAGCAGGAAAGACCATGTTTATGTGCATAATTTATGATACCTAAACTGCTTGTAGGAATAAGCGCCTTATTTTCAGGCATTGTGACAGCTAACTGTGAGACCTAAGCAGACAGTTTGCACTATGTAGTCTTCAATTTTTTTCAGCAACTAGATGTTCAAAAATGTCTAAAACATAGCTTGTTGTCATAACATAAAGTCCTTATGTGTACATTGGAATTAATAATATCTCATTTTCAAGTTCTTCCACCTGCAATGATTTAAAAACTGAAATACAAAAATTCTAACAATCTGGCTATTTAGAGATACAATTTGTTCTCTAAATGTAAGAAATCTTTCATTCCTCTTTGCATGGTTTTATCATTTTATCTCTCTTTTTAGTTCTTCTCCTTCTAAAACCAGATGGTCATGCTGTACTAGAAAGCACCGCGTCTAAATACTGGTACTGGAACCTGGTGCCGACCAGGTACCTGGTTATTCTGTTATAGAACAGAACAGAATAATTCAGTTGGAAGGGACTTAAATGACCTAGTCCAACTTCCATTAGTGCTTCTCCACCCCCACAGCCTGAAGGACCACCATTAGCATCCCTTTGCTAAACACAGTACTTACAATTTCTCCATCCTTTCCTCCGAAGTCTAAATAAAGCATCCTTATCCCATCATCTGAGGACATCTTCAGTTTTTCATAGGGATATTGTACTATTGTTTTAGAGAAGGCACCGTCTTGTGGTTCAGTTGTAAGAGAGAATCCATGTTCATAATGGATGGTCAAACGGCACTCATGGTTTTTATATGTGCAAGCTGAAGAAGGAAAGAAAACTTAGTCTGTAATGTTCTTAAAAACAACAAATACCATTTGGCTGCAGATATGTGCATTTTACATTCAATCTCAACGCTATCTTGTGGAAACTAACCCTTCCGAAAACTGGGCTAATCCTGCTCTAACTGTAAACCTGCAGATTTGGAAAAACAACAGAAGCCATGCTGTTGTGCAAGGTCCAAACAAGGTTTGGTAGTTATGGTGTAAACACACAGACTAAAATTGTGCTTGGTGGTAACAAAACCGCTGTCAGTCCTTCCAGTTATTCACTGTGTTCTTCACGTCGCAGCGCACATCTACGTGCTGACACAAAAACAATCTACAGAAGCTTAGGAAGTCTCAGGCTGACATTTCCTCTTTTGAGCTGCTCACAACGTCACAGCTACTCTTCTTACGTCTGACATACATAGCCAAAATCAATAAATGCGGCGCACAACGCACGGCAATATTAGAAGCTGTACAGGGTTTCCTTAAAGTGTTTTGACAAAGATAAAGATACTCCTGAGTCCTCATTAGTGTCGTGGTAATTGAAAAAGGGCCCAGATAATTGTGTATAATAGCTTCTGGAGCAGAAAGTCTGCATCTTCCCCTCAGCTCAGAAATACAGGCCATGACCCAAATTAAAAAATAAAGAGTTAGGTGTTCACATCCCAAATTCTTTTTTCCCCCACTTCCCTGTGAACAATTCTGACAAGAAGGGACCTTGGTACTGGGATAAAAGCACTGTGATGAAAGAAGGGGCTGACGCCCTCCTGGTTTTGGAAAGCAAGGCATCCATGTCACTGGACTGAGGAGACAGACATGGTCTCCAGGTGGTTCCTACTCAACACCTTGGTTGGTTTCCATGTTGGAGGCCCTCACAAAGCAGCCTGAGCTCCCCACGAGGCATGGCAGCCCACGGGCAGGCATCCCCATACCCAGCAGCACGTGGCTGTACCTGACGGCATCCGAAATCGGAGCTGCCCTTTGCCATAGAGCGGATTTGTACTTTGGCTCTTACTCTCACATTTTTAGGCTGAGAGTGGAGATAATGTTCAATTTTAACAGCCCCACCAACTGTAGGGCTAGCAGGGGAAGGAATCCCTAATCCTGGGGTCACTCAAGAGGAAGGTTCAGCCTCAAAGCCCCAGAGCCACCCCAGGCTAGCAGCCACCTGGCTAAACAGGGCATCACTCCAGAGCATCTGCAGCCTATACTTCGATCCCAGTCAATTCTGCAGGTATAGAACTGCTGAGAAGTGACACTTTGATGTTCAGGGAGAGAAACAACTAGCCACCAAAATATGGCTTTGGACTGGTTTGTATTTTTTTATTCTTCTCAAATGTGCAGAGCTGGGTGAATAAATGACCAATTCACGCTCGTGAACGTGCTGGTCCTCCTCTGCCTCTTCCCTCTGCAGGAAAAACTCTGTGTGGGTTTCTGGACAAACCTCTGACACTCACTCCTCCATGACATGCAGCCCTCCATGGCTGACTATAGACTGGTGTCTGAAACAACATGCCTAAAACAAGACCAAAAGTCAGAATGACAGTGACAGTGTCACCGGCCACAGGTACCACACCAGCTGCGACGGGCTCAGAAACCAAGAGGACAATATTTTAAACACAGAGAACCCTAAACATACACATTTTTTAAAATAAATTGCCTCTAGCGGAAGGAGCTTGAACCAGCCATGAGTGTCAGGAGGAGGCGTGGAGGTGCCGCAGGTGTTACTCACACGTGGTGATTTCCGTGATGAGCTCCGCAGAGTTGTGGCAGCCCTGCACTATGCTCCTCGTCCACAGGGAGAGGTCTCGGCTAGTCTCCGTCTTGAACAGATGGGTTTCGATCCCTTGCCTTGTACCGGTACGGGTTGCAAATGACAAATCCACCCCAGACTGTGGTGAGCCTTTTCCTGGGCCAGAATGGACCAACCTGCAGTTGGATTTGAAAACACATCAGTGGATTATAACGCTGACACAGTGCACTGTGCCAAAATCCCTACCTGAGCACAGCTCCGCTCTGTATGTTCCTCAATGCACGTGGTTGGGAGCATGAGAACTCCCGTCTCCTCTGTATTTGAGCCTAAAGTGACTCCTAGTGACACGCAGAGGAGCGAAGGGCCAAAGCAGTGAGTACCGAAGCAGCTGGACATGCAGGTGACAATGGGAATCTCCCAGAGGGCCCTAAAATCCTGACAAATTGTAGAAAACACCCCTTTGGATGAGGAACTGAAAGAAATCACCGACTGGTCTGTGGTGATGGGGTTTGGTGCACAGATACAAGCGCTCACTCAGATGAGGCAGCTGAATCCGACTTTCCCTGTCAGGCTGCAGTTGCTGTAAAGCTTAAATATCTGCAGATGAACTCAATGATAAGTGCTGTCAGATAAAGTAAGAAGTTCTGTAAATATGCAGATGCCAAAGTACTGTCTTATGCATACTTTTCCCATAAGGAACCTGCAAAATGCTGCAGCTATCAGTAATCTGAAATTCTCGCACATTTTGCTGCAATTTTTTTTTTTTACCTGGCATCAACAGATGATCTCCCATGACCAGGAAAGGTTTGTTCATCTGGGCAAACACTAATTGAAGGAAATAGTTTTGAGTGAGAAAACCAACACCTCATAATATTTAATAATTCTTTAAGACTGTCCTTTGGGGTTTTTTTTTCTCCAGAAGTGTGGACAGTGAATACAGAATTTGCTCAGGGGCATGACACTGACTCAGATGAAAATAATAATCCAGACGAGCTCGTCACTTTGAAATCCAGGCACTAACCCTTGGATTCAGCTGCCTCATCACTTGTATCTGTACTCCAAAGGGAGTCACGAAATGAAACCAGGGAGATTCTTCTGAAAAGCGTCTGTTTTGTGTCTCCTGTTTCCGACATACTGCATATGAGATTATAAAGGAAGTATGTAGCATGGTAGTAGAATACTTGTGCTGAAGGATAAAAGATTACACTAATCATCTACTGAGTGCTAATTCACCCTCAAATTATTGTTTTGCATCTGGAAGAATAGTTGCCTGGTAGCTGACACTGTAGAAGTATGCCATCAAACAGAGGTGTTTTAATAGGGAAAAAAAAAAGAAAAAAAAAAGCAGAGAGGAAAGAAAAAGCACAACCTCAGCTTTTCAGTTACTGAAACACTAAGCATAGGGCACCTGAAATTTTCCTCAGTTCCCTGGCAGTCCGTGCTGACATTTGGGATGTGCATTGTGCCAAACACACACACTCTTTTGTACTCTGCTAGAGGTTTGCGAGATTTGTTCATGCTCAGGTTTGTGGTAACTTCCTTCGGATTTTGAGCATCTGCCTTGATTTGATGTTCCCAGGAGGTCCCAGGAGGCAAGGGGCAGAGTATTCCCGGCAGAGCTGCTCTGCCGTGTGTCTGGGCAGGAAAGCCTCTTCCACAGAGGCACCACCTCCCTCCCCAAATGATTTTTTTTGCCTCCAGAAGAGCTTTGTTAATGCCCCGCTCAGTTTAGATACTCAATGCCTCTTAAGTGCACCTGGGGCAGATTTTGCAGTTGGGGAGCCAGTGGCAAACAAACAGCTGAAAAACTTCTATTCACTTTCATTTGGTGTGAGGTGCTGCAAACTGTGAGGGAAAGCTGCCTCTTGATAATTAAGGCAGGAGACGGGGAACTGAAATCTGCAGTGACTTCTGCTGCTGCCTGTCCCTGGCCGGTCACCCAGGCGCAGGCAGGGCCACCGCTCTCACGCTGCTTTCTGCTACCAGGGGGGAATGCGGGAAAGCAGCCTGAAAAATCACATCACATTTGCCATTAAAAATAAAACAATCTTCTCCTTGGGTCATCCCTTGTCCTTTACATAGTGCTCATCAGCACTGTGTAAATCCTTGTGATACTGAATATGTGACAGACAGATGTTCCAATGTCTTATTTCCTTTCAGATCCACTGCCCTCTACGTCTTAATGCTTTATCCATAGCACTGGCATCTCAGGTTTTTCAGCATATGGATAGAATGAAGCTGTACGTTACAAATTAAAGTGCTTGTACACATCCAACATGAACCTCATTTCTTACCTACCTTCTCATTCATATTTTCTCCTCATTAAAAATTTAGTCTCACTCTTTAAAAACCTTATTTAAATACACAACTTCAGACCATGCTTTGGAAAAGCCATGCAGTTAAACATGAACTAGACAAATATGCAGAGGAACATTTCACAGTATTTGTGTACCAGCTATCAGCACTGATGGATGAGGGTACAAGTCAAAGGATTTCCAGCTTTAATGAAGTTGCATTCACCCGAGCTATTTAATTTACATAAAAGATGTTTTATCCTAAAGACCCCAAAATACCTTAAAAGGCAAAAGAATAGTCTTAGAAACTTCACAGAAGGCTTCCCCTCGCCCCTGTCAGTCTGACTGCAGAGGAGGTTGTGTGCATGCTGCACCCTGCACCCCAGAGTCGAAAAGGCACCCCAAGACCAGTTCTGCTAATATTCACCCCCAGTCCTCGAAGGTTACTGGGCTCTGTGGAGGTTTCTGAGATGTCTGGGAGCCACAGGAGCCTGAACATGCTTCCCTGGAGCCGGCAGAGCCGCAAGAGGGCAGGAGAAGGTTGGTCACGATCGAGTCTGTTTGCACAGTGTGCAGAGAGCAGGCAGCGGCTGTTAAACACAACTCTTGGCGTGCTCCAGAGAGCCAGGGAGACACTTCTCATCTCTAATTTCTCCCTTGTTTCTCTATGTTTTGGGGACCTCTTTGGCGTTACTCTTCGCAAATGTGTGATAGCAAGATGGGCATGGTCCAAGGTGAAGCGCTGGTGGCGGGTGAGACACACTGGGACCCGCTTCTCATCCTAACGCTATGAAAAGAGTTTCAACCGCTTACTGCAACAGCAAAGTCTAACGGCCTCTTCAAAAAGGACAGCAAAACCAGCACTGACATTCAAAACAAGTGTTCAGCGGCTCATTTGAAATTTATCTCAGAGGAGGCCATGACACAAATGCTTCCACAGTCATGCAGCTCTGCCCAGCAGAAAGCCACTATCATCTGACCTTTCTTATGTGGAAACCACTCCTTACCCTGACCTAGCATTTGAAACCTGCTCTGGAACGGCTGCACTCTTTGGAAACCTATGCACATGCTCTCAATCCATCCAAGCTCTGCCCCAGAGGGTGCCACAACCACCCTCGCTGCCCCAGGAAGAGGAGTGGAGAACTGGCACAGCTTGCACAGCACCTCATATACCTTCCCTGGGGTGCCTGGGGACCCCAGTGCTCCCTGCCTGCCCCTCTCCCCACTTGCACAGACAACTGTTCGGTGCCTAAACTCCTTCCCCAGCTTTCCATGGCATTAACTATCAATCTGCTTTAATTCCTCCTGGTTAGAGAACTCAGCTTTGCACACTAGCTACTTACCTGATCTTTAATCAGAGTCCAACATGGGCTGCTTTATTTTTATTTTTTTCATTTCATATCTGGCTATGTTAGATTATGCAATTTGATTGCAAACATTTAAGATGTAATTACTTAAGCCCCATTCCCATGACAGAGGGAGGCACTGTTATTCAGGCATAAGGAAACACTGAAACAGAGATTATGACAAAAAGGTCCTTGGAGTCAGGGCTATGAGCCAGCTGCTGTGCCTCCTGGTGCAGAGATTTAAAGGAACAACTTAAATGTCCTGATCTCGGTTTTATTTGAGCTATTACTTATGTTCTGCACAAAGCTGGGAAAGATCGACTGGAAATATTTTTAGGCCCTAATAGCATCCATAGGTTGAAGGCAAACTTACCAACAAATAGAAAGGGCATGTTGAAATTCTGCTGTTAAAATACTGTAAGAAGATTGTAATCCTTCTACAACTTTCCAATTTTCTCTGCTCATTATGTCTTGGGTAGATTAAGCATGACTCTGTACAGTATCTGGCACTGAAGTTTTCCAGTTTCAGCAGCTTTTCAAATATGTATTAGCTAAGCAAAAATGTTTTCCCAAGGACTAATAAAAATCTGAAAGATGGGAGCAGCCAAGATTACAACATGTGGTCTGCAAACTTTCCAGGTGAAAAGTTCTAAACTGCACCAAACAATGTGCAGAGGGAATTAAAAAAACCCGTCACGAGGAGGGTAATCACTGACTGAGCATGAACGCAGCAGTCAATACCAACAGTAAACCCTGTGTAGTTTTTTTTGGTATAACTGTACTCAGTGTGACAGACCATAAAAGCAGAATCCTGCAGGGTTTTAATCAAAATCATCCAAAACAGTAGGTTTAATGATTTAGGGAATCTGTCAGTTTATGTAATCTGTCCAGCTCGGAGATACATGTATTTTTATGTATTTATCAGTTTGCGACTCCATTCTGAATGTCAAGTTCTGTATAGGTGCTGTCTTTTACCTGAGTGTTAAATTCACAGTGATACAGTAAGAAATCACAGAGATGGGGAGGGAATGGTTTTCAGGAGGTCACCCAGCACATCTCCCCTCCCAGAGCAGGGCTGACTGTGCTGACACGCTCCTGAGGGTTACAGCGTTACCCATCCTTCAAGGTCCCCAGTGATGAGGCCCATACGCCTTTCCTGAAGAATCTAATCCACTACCTCACCCACTCACCAGGTTTCTCCCAGGACCTACCCCACACCTCCCTGCCACAAATGCAGCCAACTACGTCCTGTTGTATCGAGCAGGGACCTGGAGAACATACTCCCCTGTCCTCCTCGTGGTTTCCATCTTCATACCATTGACATGTTTTCCATGGGCTTCTCTAGATTAAACAACCACGGTTTCTTATGTATTCCCCAACTGATAGTGTTTTCTAGGTCTTACATTTCTAGGTCTTTTTTCTAGACCTTCTGCAGTTAACTGGCATCTTTCTGGAAGTGCAATGCCTCACATGAAGGTGGTGTATCACCTGAGGCTTTACTCATGCTCTGTAGCTAGGTTAGATTACCACACCTGCCCAACACGCAACACTTCTGCTATAACCCAAAATGATTGTCTTTGTTTTCTCAACAACATAACACTAGATTTAAGCAATTTCAACACACTGCCCAGATGCTTCCTGGCAGAGTAACTATTTTGTAATTTGTTCTCCACTGCAAACCAGCGCTGAACTTTGCACTTCTCCTTTCTGAATGGCATCCCATCTTTCTTACAGACCATCTTCCCAGTCCATAAAGACCCTTGAGCAGCCTGACACCTGTGTCAAGCAACTTCTCGTTCCCCTCCAGCCTGAAGGTCAATGCTCCTCCACTCACACATGAATCCCATTACACCAGGAGATGACTATCCCCACCCAAGGCAAGCCAGTCTGCTATCAAATCTGAACTCCTGAGAAAAAGTCATTAAGTAACAGGCCCTCCAAGACGAGAACTTAGACTGTTTGATCAGTGGTGACTGATGACAGGGGCTGGCAATGCCCACCAAAGGGCTGTCTTGACTCGTGACGTGTGTGGGCAGGAGGGGTCAGGGTGTGCTGCAGGATCTCTGGTCACTGTGAAGAGGAGGACTTGAGTCCATGTAAAAATGACACCCAAAGCACTGGGGAGGAGGTGCATCCCCTTCTGCCGGGGTGCTCTTGCTTCACAAATTCTAAGGCCTTAATGACACACCTGGATTCAGCCTCTGGCTCCAACACCTTTCCCAGTTTTCATTTGGAACTGCCACTTGGCATTGTCAACCTTCACTGCCTCGATGCGCGGCAGGCTGCAAACCGCAGAGCATGTACCCTTACGTTACAATAACAAAGGGTGAGTCAGAAGCCTTCTTCCCAGGAAGCCCGAAAGCTCCATCACGGGTAGGTAGGCTGGGACAAAACAACTATCAGCATAATTCACTGAGGTTTGTTTTGTTTTTTTTTTTTTTTTTTTTTTTTTAGTATAATGATTTAGCAGCAAAGCCTCAGTTCATCTGGGGAGAGCACTAAGAGATCAAGAACAAAAATTAACTAATGAGAGTGCAGTAAGAGACCCACTGCATTTGGCCATGTGCTACCAGCTCTTTTGAATGAGAACTCATTGAAAATGGTATAATAGAGGCCTGTAGCAAGGCCAAAACAATGGAACAGTGGCTCTTTCTCAAGCTCTTTGACCATACTGGCAGAGAAATGTGATTAAGATTCACATCAAGAAGCACAGACAGTTTCCACTGCATAACGGCAACCATGGGAAAGCTCTCTCTGAATTAGTGTTGATGGATACCTTCGAAATAATGTGGATGACTATTTCCAACCTAAATTCAAGAATGTGGCTTCCAAGATCACCATTTTAAGCTAAAAAAAGCCAGGAATTTGTTTCCTGGAGCAGGAACACAAGCTGTGCTGAAATCAAATGTCTCCATCACATGTGCAAGTCCCCAAAAGCCCCAAACTGGTGGTGCAGAACTGCCACACCTGCATGGCCAACTCAGGGCAACAATTTCACGTTTTTCAGCCTCGAGAAGTGGCTGGAAATCTGCGTGCTTCTGCCAAGCCCTCAGGTCTGCCCACTGAGATAGAAATCTCAGGAGATCAAGCTCTTGGCTTTTTAAGCCAAGATCATAACAAAAAAGCACTGGTACCTGGTGGCTAGCAGGGGGTAGGTGTGCAGAGGGCTGAACCAAGCTTCCTTCATCCGTGGCATGCTCTCATATATTAAGAGGTCTTTTTCTGTCAAGACCACTAACACTGGCTTCCAGTGCTTCTCGTTGTCTCCTGGCACCTGAAAAAGAGTAAAGTCTCAGTGAAACAACAAGAGACAAAGCTACCATCGTGCAATGCCTGATGACACGAACATGTCGAGTCCTGGGCGAGCTAATGAACAAAAGAGAGTTTTACTTCCTTGTCTTTTTGACATCTCTCACCTGAATTTATAACCAGTGCAGCAGAAACGGAGTAAAATGCAATGACATCTGCTGCTCTCATTAGCACTGCCATTTCCATCCCTCCTTGCAGCCTTCCCTTAGTACAGGCTACTCCATAAAAGCAGTAGTGGAAGAGCACCAAGACAGAGCTGGCTGTTATTTAGCTGTGGTATGCATGAACAGACCTTAAATGTACATTTATAATACACACCGTTCATGTACAGCTGGCACATTGGACACTGCTGCTGCTGTTAGTATTTTCATGAGTGAAAAAAGCTGCAGCACCATCACTATTAAATCAGAGTGTCAGGTAGTACAAAATAGTGGTTTGGGAGCAGAAGCTTTTTTCCTCAGCAGTTCATGTTTTCATTGCTTCTCTTTCCTTCATACCATTCTTCCAGCTTTACAGTCACCAATTGTAAAATTACAGTTTTACAAGTGCCAATTTGTAAAGAGACCCAACCTAAACATGGGCTTGACTCAGTGATGGATCTGAATCTACATTTCACACCCATCTGCAGAAGATGTCTAAAGACTAGGGCATCAAAGCCCTTTGCTGCCTGCAGAGTCCAGATGTGGAATTATATTTTGCAGGTTAGACATTTGGCAGTCCACACGGCTACACAGTTACCGCTATGGGGACCAAGTATGGATCCTGGTTTTTATTTATTCTACTCTGGCAGCACAGAAGTGTCTTAAAGTAGATGGGAATATGAAGGGTCTTAGTTTCAAGTACGAATGAAGCTCTTGTCTTTCATGGACAAATTAATCATTTTCCTTTTGGTGCACATAAAGAAAAAGAAACCCTGTTCTGCAGTAACACTCACAGCATGCTTTCAAAACTAAACATCTTGGCTGGCTACTGAAGGGAATGAAACAAATTCTGTGATTCACCAGAGAATCTGCTTGTCTGCATGACTCCTCCATTAAAACCTTCTCCAGGAAAGAGAAGCTGTTGTCTATGGTGTTCTGTGGTTGATGCCAGACTACTTGCCACGGGCTTGTGTCACTGGGCACATCACTGGGTGGAGAAACACATCAAAGGGATCAATCAATGGCTGGCGAGGCATGGCATGGCACAGCCAGGAATGGTGATTCAGATCCTTAAGTACAATGTGCCTTAAGCGAGGGATTCAGATTGAGAACCACATTTGAAACACTTGTATTTCATATGAAGACAGGGTCCCACAAATTTCTAAGCTTTTAAGGACTTTCAAGGCAGCTGTAAGATATCTTCACACCACAACACCAATGCCCAAAGCAGATCTTAAACTAAAATTTTTGGCTTGCATAATTTTTAGGAGGTATTTTTCCTTCTGAATTAATCTTTTACAATAATCATATTCCTGTTTACAGCAGTACTTGCTCATTAGTTGGTCCTGTCTGTGTGTTAATCAACTTAAAGTCATAACCGGTCCATCCTTTTAATTTCTTCAGAAGCATCAATGCTTATTTACTATTTTCTTGCGGTGACAGTTTATTGAGATGCAACCTTTCATTTTCAAATAGGGCTGGACAGAGAAGCTGCCTAATTGACATACCTATTAATACATTCCAGAAAGAAAGCAAAATCCAGAGTTCTCACAGCCCATGTAACATGCAAATACTCACATGAGCAAAAAGTATTTGCACCTTCTTAATACCACAGTTATTAACTACAGTTAACACCCCTGTTCCTAGCATGGGAATATAGAAATAAATGTTACAGCTAATGTTAACATTTAATAAATGTTAACGTTAACATTTAATTTTTGAGCATTTGCCTGTGTTCTTTAACTAGCTAGACCTTAGTACATATTTTTTAATATTTCCAGAAGAGAAAAAGGAAGATAAATATGAAATCCCTCATAGGATGAGAAAGCAGGATGCTCAGATCCATGATATGGAGGAGTAAACAGGCAGTGTACTGTCATTATTCTTCAGTTCTGTGATCACAAGCAATCCAAAGACTCTGGGAAGCTGCAGAACCATCCTGCCTGCGAAGCATGTTCAATCACAACCTTTGTTATTAGGTGGCTGCTCAGTCAACTGCGATGCCAGAAAATTTGGGAAACACTGTTCCCTGTAAACCAACAACAAGAAAAGGAATAAAATTAATTTTGCCAGCTGGTCCCACAGCTATTTGCTGGACAGCTGTAAACATCAGGAGCTGGAATTCCCAGCACGGATCCTGTGGTTACCACCTGCACAGCAATGCCCACAGCTTTGCCTCGGCCCTTCCCAGCAGCAGGCTCACTTCTGGAGAAGACGTGGCTCAGCCACAAGGTATTGAAGACTTTTTCTCAAGTATAAGTGACCTTACACTACCTTTCCTTGTAGGATGTATGCCCTGTTTGTAGGGTGTATACTGGGAAGGGGAGAGAGGAGAACGGTGTTGGCTTGTGTCCTGCTAGGAATCCCTCCCCAGTAAGAAGGGCTGTGAAATATACACACTGAATTTTAATCCTGTTTTTTAAACCTTGCTGGGACCATCTCTGTCTCGCTGGTAAGGAGTGTCGGTGTAAGCAATTCTGCTGCTATTTCAGACCTGAAGAAGGATTTGTGTGCCTTGAAAAGCCTGAAAGCTTGTCTGTTTTTTTCCAACTGTAACAGCTGATCTAATAAAAGATAATGCCTTTCCTTAAAAACCTAGAATTGCATTATTGTTCCTTTTTGTCTCTGGGGTTTGGATCAGGCTTTACCAGCCAATGCTGTGCTGTTCAACAGGCAGTTGGCACTTCTGGAAGGCGTCAAAGAGAACATGCTGTCCCATAAAAGGTAACAGCAAATTTTACAAAGGCAGAAGAGAGGCTGCAAATACACCGTTAGCCTACAGGGCACATGCAAAACCAATAATCATGGGAAATTAATCCATATTAAGCAAGTGTCATACCAAGCATGAGTATAATAGCAAATTACAAAACAAAAGCAAAAAGCTTGCTGCTTAAAGGCAGCTAAGGGAAGGATTTGTTCAAGTTTTAAAGGTTTTAAAATCTGACATATCACAAAGATAACATGAAATACTTCCATAAGAGTAAATTTAAGTATCATTTGAGATACATTTTAGAGGCACCATTTTAGACGCTGGTTAAGGCCAGTTTCTCAGCCAGAATTTTGCAGAATTTTGGCACTTGCCCTACAATTTCTTCACTTGAGTTCCCACTTGCGCACGTACAATTCAAAGTGCATTGATCTGTGTTGCAGATAAATAAAATCACCATCCACTCTAAAAAAAACTTTTCAAACTGAACCCTATTTCAAAGCCAAAAATGTTAGATCAAATCTAGATGAACCAGGGAAAAGAAAAATCGGTACTCCTCAAACCTCCCACTACAATAAAATGAATCAGCAAATTTTTTGCTGGTCTTCTGGGTACATTGTTCAGGTGACTCAAAGCAACAGGTACCAGTGCCCCCTCTCCATGCTCTGCCCATCTCAGCTGAGGTCACTGCTCATATTCCCAAGTGAAATTCCACTTCAAGTTAATGAAGCTTTAAATATTTATACTAGAAGCAACTTGGTTTTTTTTTCTTTTCTATATACACTGTTCCTCTAGAGCAAAGTCTTCAAGTGCAAATCTGAAAAGGGCAGACATACTCTATCAAAAAAAACCCCAAGTGTGTTGAAGCATCCTTTTGCTACTTGCAAACCTCTTTGCTCCTCATACACTCCATGAAGGGCAAACCCCACTTTTCCCATATGCACCTCTCTGGTTTACCTTTCCAAATTCATTAAAGTTTTCATGTACAGCAGGGATGAAACCTAATTTTTTTGTGTATGACAATGTGATGGCTGGGACTGGGATGACACCAGAGGAGATGCATTTATGTCTTGCTCGGCCACACGCTTCCTCTGCAAAGCCAGCCTAAATGCTCTGTGTTTCTGCATGGACACCGCAGTCTCCGCTGGGGTGGCACGTGTTGCTGTAACACCCACAGCAGGAACAGATGCAAACGTGAAGGCAGACAAAAAGTGCACAAGAACAGCTGCTGTATTTCAGCAGCTACACGGAGACTTGCTCATCAGCCTTTGGATAACGTAAGAGCAAAAGTGCTTCGATGCAGGGAGCATATGGCTCGCACAGTGCTAGGACACACCAGAGCCCACCGCACCGAGGATGTGCCTGCGCTCTGGCTGCTTCTGGATGCCTTTGCAGGGGTGGGGCAGCATCACTCCACGCTTTGCTTTAGGGCCGGAGCTGTGGTCTGAAGGACCGGCTCTGCAAATAGACATAGCAAGCTCAACACTACCTGTATGAGCTGGTTTTCTGGCAACTGCTTGTGTGCTTAAGGCCACTACTTGCAATGAACCCCTGAAGAGTAACTCCTCTGATAGATATCGAACAATATTTCAAAGAGGAGACAGCTTGTTTTTCTGCAGGCGATGGGGACCCCTGGCCCCTTTAATGCATATCACAGGTTCCAAATCTTGAATAGTTTTCACATATAATTACTTGCTGTAAAGACAACGGGCATCTCAGTGAAGATAAAGCCTTTTACAAACAGTTTGGCTCTTTGCTCTTTCATCTGCCAGGTTGCCTTTTTGTAAGGTTTTTCTTTGAATTTCAGTTATTCATCTACTTCAGGCTGCCAGGAATGGATGAAAGAATACTTTTAATGTATGAGGCTCACAGATAATTAAATTAGAGGCCTTGCTCTACTCTGGAAAGCTGTTTTATATTTTCATTAACTCAAAAGGGACATTTCAATTACATTCCCTGTTTAGTAAACAAATTATATATTGCCAGCAGACTCCACTGCAGCATGTATCCAAAATGTGGCCTTTCAGAGAACTGCTGCGAAGGTAGCAAGTTTATGCCTATAGTGAGTGGTTTAACCCCATTCTTCATTACCCCCTGCCAAACCCTGGAGCTACACTA